CACAATTGTGACGAAAAAATCCAAACGAGGAACCATTTTACCGTATTGTTATAGCCGTGTCAAAGATAACTAGATTGCTAACTTACAGTTACTGGTGTTTTTATGAGGATACTCCGCCAGCGAGGCGACCAAGCCTATCTCATTAAAAATAATTTTACCTGACGTGTGTGTTGATTTAGGTGAACTTTGGACTTTATGTTTTGATGACTATTGTCTACAACCATAACGTAAAATGGGCTGTGCTTCGGCTGGAAATATTCTGTATTTACTGAGCACCTCAGTATGTATCCTGAGTTACTGAGCACAGTGGTGATTACTGCATAAGTACGGAAAAGCCTTATTTGCGAAACAGAAAATAATCACACTCTTTTATAACCAAAACTTACGGCCATAACATAAATTAAATATCAATCTTTAGTTTATATATAACAACTAAGAACATGTTTGTAAATGCTGAGAAAAAAATATTGAGCTAGTATAATGGCACGTTGTTTGTGAAGAAAGATAAATGCTATTTATGTCTTACAAATTATTTCTTTAGCCTTACATTACGTATTTACGATTGCAACTACCATTTATTGGAAAATGACGCTTTACAAAATTAACATAGAATTCGACCATTTTTACATCAAAGAACAGCACATTTTAAAAACTCTTTCAAGTACCATCATACATACAAGGCGTGTTTCGTATAAACACTATGTAACAATCGGTCTTTTATCACGAATTCTCCTACATTAAATACGGTCAAGGTAAGTGATTACAAAGAAGGTAAATTATTACAACAATCTTATGTTTTGAAACCTGCCTAAATATAAAGGTGGAGTCTTGGTTTGTTAATTGTCTGCATTTTGCCCCAGGGGTTGAACTTTTAACTCAAAAAGTAAATATTTGTGTTACCACAGCAAGCCTGTAGACATTTCAATGGTATTATAAAATCTTAAAAACGACCATAACAAAATAACAAATTTGGAACGAAAATAATTATATAAAATGTAACATGAATGGAAAAAAAGTTATTATAAATAAAAATAGGTAGATGAAACAAGAGGATAATTTAATTTTGTAAGAACCAGTAACGATTACTGCAATTGAATAACACACATGCACAGTAATGTGTACTAATATTACACATTATGATAATACTATAAGGTAATTGTATCAATTCAATTAAAGATTGAAACACTTTAAAACAGCAGAAGGTAGAAGATGTGTAAATAAAGAGACAATAAAACAATGGGAGTCGTTGTAAGAGGACTTAAAACGCATTTATTTTTCACAAATCACTACCATCATACACACATCTATTATAAAATAAATCCAATTATCAGACTGTGTTCAACCCAGTGGATAAGACCAAAGTAAGCCAAGTCAATGAAAAGTTTGAGAATGAAACTGGAGAAACTTTAAAAGCATTTAGCTAGAGTGCCTGGAACAGTTTTACATTTAGCTGTAAAAGTCTTAATAAAATGATTAAACGATAGTAAATTACTCTTGAAGATAGTTTTGTTTGAATGGTTTTGATTTAGTTTCATCATGATGATTACTTTAAGTTTAAAGTTCATGGAAAAACTAAGTAAATGTTTATCATAGTGAAAAGTATGTGAAAGTAATAACTGTTTGTCTTAAATTATGGATGTTTATGATAGTGAAATGTTTCGCAAACATTTTAACTAACCTATTGTTGATGTAATCTAGGGGTTTCTACAGTACAGTATATCTATGATACTCTAAATGACAGTGGAGTGTATCGATAACCACACCGATCGATTATTCATTTTATTTTATGTGATCCAGATCAACAATACCATCGTTATTTTATTAAGTATGAATGTACCAGTCAATAATATATTTATAGAGTACACATTTTAAATGACGTACAGTATCAGGTAAGAGGTAAATATGTTATCCTCTATAGAGAATCCTTTATCAAGACTGACCATACTGCATTTAATAAAAACCTTCGTTCAGTAAAATTCTACCGTGACACTAAATAAAAAAGGTCAATAATCGGAAATTTGTGAGGAAGATAAGTGAAAACCTGTGTAGGCCATACTTGATATACATTGGGGCAGCTTGTGGATTGGAGGAGCCTTTTTATTTCGTCCATCAAAATTTGATAACTTGGCTAGCATGTTAAATAAGTAGGCAAACTAAAAATAATCTAGGAAATGAAGTGCATTGCTTATAGTGGTTAGATTTTCATATTGTGCCGTACATTTCCTTGTTATTGAGATGTTTGTTTTGAAGTGACCATCGTCTATGTATGGTGTGATGTCTACAAGATGGAACACTAATATGTTTTCATGTAATAACGTGGTCTGATCATTATTCCATTCAATTATTTGATTGGCAAAACTTGATATGCAAACACCAGTACGACTAGTTACGGTAATATACTTTTTAGAAAAACTTTTTCTGAGTATAAACTAATAAATTATGTTAACTTCGATATCGTCTACTAAATGAATCGTTTATTATGAGATGAAATTTGTATAAATATGACATTATTGCCTCAATAACGTATAAATAGTTGTATTTATATTGTAATTCTAGTGTGTAAACCTTGAACTTGTAAAGCAGTGTTTGTGAGAGAACAGAGGAAAACCACAAGAGGCTATATCCAGCGAGATACTGACCCTGTGGCTGGAGGAAGCTATTATGATGTTATTAAATTTCAAAATGCTTGTAGGCTACTTAGTTTCTCTAAAATGGTATTAAACAGATTTACTCACAAACTAAAATATTTAAAATGGCTAATCAAATATAGTTGGTATACGTTTTTAATGCAATACTTAGTACTTCGAGGTAAATTGTCTCTTTCCAACTAATGTAGCAGACGAATGAGAATGAGACGCTTGATGTAAGCCACTCAGGGCGGATAAAGCAGCAATATCAATGTTCACTGAGCTCCAAGCCTAGATTACCGCCACATCTCTGATCTGGATTACATTAAGCCTGCAGTTTGTTACGTCTCAGACTCAGGTCCGGTCTTATCTCCCTCCGCTACCGACCCCCTGAACAGCATAAACTGCTGCAACATTCTGAACTATTATTATGACTTACTCATTAGGTTTCCAGTTAATTGTTAGTATTAAAAGGCCAAGAGACTAAGTATTTAGCTACTATTAGGACAAATTTATTGTTATTGTGTTTTACTAGTCTCTCTTATTAGAACTAATTTGATTTCCTCTTCCACTTAGCGTTTTAGAATCACACATAATAAACAACCATAACGAATTAGTTGTATTATTCTGTGTTGGGGGTCTACCTTTAAACTATTTATTTGTTCAATAATCCTTTATTGTAAAATGCAACCTCAAATTGTTTATTCCTTTCATCCAGTTTTTAATCTTGTAACTGATTAAATGCTTTTAAATTTGTAGTTTTTACCTTATAGTTGTGCCTTATGTGTCTACTTCAACATCTATATTAATTAAACATATTTGATGTCGTGTAGATTAGATTTTTTTACAAACATATTTTGAATAGGCCTAGGCGTTCCTATTTTTTTTTTTTGCTTGGATTGTCAATGAATTAAAAGGGTCAATTGAGAGAAAATGTTGAATTAGTTTTTAAAATCAGTAGGCTAAAAAAAATAAATGATGTAATAATATAATCGATGAAACAAAATAATAAAACAACAAACAGAAATTAATTTTTTATTTTCATAGTAGTGCAGCGTATGACTTACAAGGATTCTGCATGAGAATCTTAACATTTATAACGAATATAAAGACAGGTTCTTATTAATCCACTCAAGTCAAGAACACTCAACTTTGATGAAAATTCAAGAAAGCTTAATTAGTTTTACACTTTTGTTTGTTCTTTCCAAATAGAAAACTGTTTATCCGCTCCTCAATATTCCAGTCATCGTAGATTTGCACTGCTAACTTAAACCCCTCTAGTAATTGTTATGCACACATGAGCAGGCTACACTTACATGAGCGTAAAGGTTCCCGCATATATAAAAGTAATTAAGGGTTAAGTGTAGCAAAAAGTATATAGCTTTTTGATGGTTTGAAACTGGACCATGGAGTCCCCATCACAAATGATAATTTAATGTTCTAGGACACTAGGTACGAGCCCGGGATCGTTTTTCACATTACTTCAGACTAGACCTAGGGGTTGCGGCATTATCACTCAGATAAAATCCATCGGTGATTTGGCAGGATTTAAAACCGGTAACTCCAGGAACCGAAGTCCCATGCTGTAACCACTAGACCAGCTCACTCCCCCATCTCAAATACTAATAATAATAATAATAAAGGTCATATGCATACATGAGCTTAAAAGAAACACATAGCCTATATACATAAGTGTAAGAGTTACATGAACACCCCAGTATCCAGAGCATTGTGTTGGGTTAACTTTTGTAGACGGTGATAGGTGTCAAGCTTGACAGTAGAGGGAGGGTAGAGGGTGTAGTGACCTCTACAGGACTGGAGATGTAAACCTCTTTCGTTTTATCCAATGCTACACTCTCCAGAACATTGTGTTGGTTTCACTGTACCAGAAGGTGACAGGTGTCAAGCTAGACAGTAGAGGGAGGGTGCTGGGTGTAGTGACCTCTACATGGCTTGAGGTAGATGCCACTCTAGTCCTGTCTAACATTGTATTGGTTTCACTGTACCAGATGGTGACAGGTGTCAAGCTAGACAGTAGAGGGAGGGTGCAGGGGGCAGTAACCTCTGCAGGGCTAGAGGTAGAGGCCTCTCTAGTTCTGTCTAACATTGTGTCGGTTTTACTGTTCCAGATGGTGACAGGTGTCAAGCTAGACAGTAGAGGGAGGGTGTAGAGGGTAGTGACCTCTGCAGGGCTAGAGGTAGAAGCCTCTCTCTCTACTCATGTCTAACATTGTGTCGGTTTTACTGTTCCAGATGGTGACAGGTGTCAAGCTAGACAGTAGAGGGAGAGTGCAAGGGGTAGTGACCTCCACAGGGCTAGAGGTAGAGGCCTCTCTACTCCTGTCTAACATTGTGTCGGTTTTACTGTTCCAGATGGTGACAGGTGTCAAGCTAGACAGTAGAGGGAGGGTGCAGGGGGTAGTGACCTCTGCAGGGCTAGAGGTACAAGCCTCTCTAGTCCTTTCTAACGCTACACTCTCCGCCACGTTGGCCTTGCTCCCTCCAGCCAGCTTGAGTCCTGACATTTTACAAGCAGTGCAGGCCATTGACTATGAGTCTCCTGTTACCAAGATTAATGGTACTTACCTCAGCTGGAACATTATGCACTTATAATCTGGGTAGAAAAGTACACAAAATAAAATAAGAAAATATAAATGAGATTGTTAGGGATATTTTTATATGGTGTGATGTTAAAGAAGTTGGCAATTCTTCATTTTTGTTTAAATCTTTGCTGGTAATTGGCCACTAACATAATGGTGATTAAGGATAGCTTAAAAAAGTTTCGTTGACTGTTTGAGAACTTATCTTAGAGTTATATCTAAGAATCAAGTTGTCTCAGCTTTTATACAATTAATTAAAGTATCATGATCCCTCCTTACTCCCTCATCTGGCTTTGTATCTTCTCATAGTTGTTAAGACATTTACAGGTACTTAATACGTCTAATACCTATTATTTTAAAAGATATTTACTAATTAAGTAAGATTTTAAAAGTCCGATAAGAGAATTTAATGTTAGCACCATAAATAGCTCCACAAGCATAAAGAGTGCATCAGCAAATAAGTGGAAATTGATGGTGAAGAACAACTGACAGCTTTTGGAGTGATATTTCCATTACCTCTTAATGAATGTGTCAGTCAGCAGCACTTTTTCTCCTACCCTGGCAATTTTCAACCACATTAATTCTACTTCAATCTGCAGAAACTATTTGATGGCTCAGCTAAAGGGATAAAAATAAGAGCTCTGTCACTTTGATTGTGAAGTACTAAATTCCAGTTTAACCAATTTCATTTTATTATTTCAAATAAATTTTTAAAAATGTGCTTGGATTCACATAAAAATAAGAACTATATTTGTTACTATACTCTTACAATATTGAATTTCTTTGGTTTACAAGTGATTGCTATTGGTCAACAACTCTTACAATGGAAAATACGCAAACCTGCTGACTAAGGAAATTTCTATTTGTCTGATTTAATTTTAAACCAATAATATTTCGTCAAGCATATCAGATTTCCCTCTTATTTTAGTAGGTAACATTAGAGGTTGAATAAGTGTTAACTGCTTCGGAGAAGAAAAAATGAATAAATTAACCAAATTTACTTAAAAACACCCATAAATGATAAAACTAAACAGTTTATTTTCCATAAAAACTAGAAAAAATAAACACAATCTTAAAAATTATTTTGATGGAAATAAAAATAATTTTTTAATTTAAGTGGCTGTTAGTCGTCTGCCAGACTTCATTGCTGATCGAAACATCCGACCAAACCAAGTGATGCCTCACCATCAGGCCACCATCCACCTCAACTGCGAGAACTGTGGTCTTGTAGATGAGGCTTACGATGACTACCAGAAGGGTGTGCTGCCCGCAAGGTAGGACTTTTAGAATTGATGTCTTAAGTTCTTTTGATATTTGGATAACAAATAGATACCTGTATAAGTACATCTTAAGATTAAGTAACGGCATTGACTATTGGATACTGAAGCGATACTGTTGTATTAATTGCAAAAGGTAGCAGTTTATGAGTTGGGGTTATTACCTGGTAAAAAATAGGTGAATTTCTAGAAAATTTAAACATTTTTAGAAGGTTTAAGGATCTATAACTGCTTTTAAACACCAAGGTCGCTTTTGGAAATGTTCAATGAAAGAACCTATATAGTTGGGAAATTAGGGGGCATTTACGCCTAACCTTGCTATTTATTCTAATCAAAATCGTTTTTTGTGCACCACACATGACTTAAGGATGATTCATATTCACCATGTAATATTTCATAACAAGAGTAGAAAGTGAGTTCACATATTTGAGACCATGTTTGAAGTGCGAGATTTATCGAGCCACTTATGTATAGACCCACTTCCACTTGTGTTTTGAACAGTACTTATCTCTACACTATAAAGACTTATTATTTTCTTGCCCATTACAAAACTCATAGAATTTTTCAGATTATAACTTGAATTTAAAGTTAATATGTATTTACTTTGGCTGTTCAGTTTTGGTTGTTGAAAATTAAAACAGTTGACAAAACCATAACAATAACAAATCTGTGTTTGTTTACGTCGGCAAAATCCAAAAAAAGATAGTAATAAACATTACTTTTGCATGGTAAACAATGTAATGATGAATTTTCACAGGTGATAAACAAGTAATGAAAACAGGTAATTTCACAGTATAGTGTAGCGAAAAACGAATTTCATGTTACAATTTCTTTGATCCTAATTTTGTATTCTGGGCTTATTCTGTGTTTTATGAAGGTGTTTATTCATTTTCAAGTGGTGCACATAACACTTATAGTTGACTTGTGGCAGACCCATGATCGAGATGGTGATCCCGTCTAGTGTGGACCCCACCTTGGCACCTGCGGGTGGTCATGTGGTACTGCTGTTCACCCAGTTCACCCCCTACACACTGACGGGGGGCCGGGTGTGGGACACTATGGTCAGAGAAGAATATGCTCAGATTGTGAGTTAATTGGGTAAAAAAATGAAATATATTAAAAAAATATCTATAAGATTCACAAACACATTTAAAATTTCAACGCTTTAAGATTTTCCTAACATACAAAGAGATCAATGTATTTTTAAAATTAATTATGTGATGGGACAGTCCATGAACCCATGGACTAATTAAACCATTAAATAATCTGCCACAAAGTAGACTTTTTGCGCAACCCTGGTTCCTGTTTCAGAGCCAGTTACATTTGAATCAATGAATGAAACATGCTTTATTTTAATAAGTATTCGATACAAATAAAAAGTTTGAAATAAATCCCCAAATGGGCTAGTGGGTTGTGATTGGGGATCGTCCATCATCTGCACAGTAAAACACTAAGATTTATTTGTAAAAACTCAAAATATATATAATAGTTTATTTTAGTTAACATATTCATTTAGATAATAAAATTGAATACAGTGCAGTACTACGCCTAAATAATTCACCTGGTTTTGCAGTGTGTGCAGTGTGAACCGAAAGTTTTAGGGATCCAAAGTCTTTCAAATTTCTATCTTGCGGTAATGGCAACCTTCAATTGGAGCTAGCCTCTAAAAGCTTTTTAGAAGTAATAGCTCCTGTCTATAAACAAAGGAAACAGTGATTACATTTCTCTTTTAAGTAAAACTACAGCTAAAAGTATGGAACTGATTACTTATTGTCTTGAAAGAAAACTCAGTATACAAATATTTACTTATTACTGTGCATTGAAATATTTTGTTCTGATAACAAATGGGATTTGATTGAAGGTGTTTGACTGTATAGAAGAATATGCTCCTGGTTTCAAAGGAAGTGTGATTGGCAAAGAAGTTCTTTCACCGCCTGACTTGGAACAAATATTTGGACTCACTGGAGGGGTAACATGATATTTTCATATTCGAGATCTAAAAAAACAAAAGAAAAAAACAAACATTTAGGGGCTTCTAAAGTCTTTAATTCATGTGGTTGACACAAGTAAATATTATAACACTCTTCTTATTGTAATGTATTTAGTCCATCTTCCATTGCTTCTGTTCAATGGGGTAGACCTAATTTTCGCATATCCTCGATAAAAGTCCTATACTGACTGCCAAGATTCTTAATAGCTACTTGTCATTTTTGTGGTAAACCTATCAAATGTTTAAAACTGTCTTTATGGTTAACGAGTATGAACTGTCTTTATTTATGGTTGTTCTTATATGAAAGTATAACCTTTGCTATTTTCATGCACTCCTAATGTGCATTCACTACTAAATCAAACCATTTTCTCTGGAATTAAATTGGAATTTAATAAAATTTAAGCCAATATGTATCAAGTTTGAAGGAAATTATTTAAAATAAAGTACACCCCAAGTGTTTCATAACTCAACACTGTATGAGAAATTTGAATAAAATAAAATAATTTGATTTAAGTTACCAATTAAGATGAGATATCAGAATGTATTTTGATTCAAATATGTGTAATGGATTGTGTAGTTTAGTTTTGTTACTGACTGAGACCATATTACTTTATAATGATAATTTACTAAAAGCAATGGATTTAAAACCATCAAAAAGCTTTTGACTTTTCTCATGATCAAACCTACAACCCTCTGATTGCTAGGCTAGCAGTATATTAATACTTTAATACTGGAATTGGAATGGGGACCATACGAAGGTAGGTATTTTAAGCCAAGTACAACTACTCACCTACCCAGCTATTTATTTTGTATTGAATTTAAAATTTCATGAATTGGCATATACGTGAAGTGAAGAAAGGATTACGTTACGTTTTACTTTTAAATAGAAATATCAATGATAAGATACCGGTAATAGTTTTTTTTTTTTATCAAATACAAACATAAGATTGTCTTTATATTTCAGAATATTTTCCATGGGGCGATGACTGCGAAGCAGCTGTTTCTTAACCGTCCGCTGCCATGGGGCGCTGCCAGCCCTTATACTGCAGTGCAGGGCCTGCTTCTGTGTGGAGCGGGGGCTCACCCAGGTGGGGGTGTGTGCGGGGCTCCGGGGCGCCTGGCAGCCTTAGAGGCTGCAAAGCTACTGCAGCTATCCAGCCTATGACTTTTGTGCTTACTAAGCTGATAACTTTCTAAATAAAGTCATTTCTTGCTATAGACTTTTTTATACCTTTGAAAACAATCATTATACATACTATAGTAGTATATGCCAAAAGGCAGGGAAGTAGGGGTTTATAGTACGAGCTTTGAGTTTGATCCTGACACTTTCTATTATGAGTGACTTCATGCAAATACGTTAATACGTTCCCTAGTGAGTCACATACAATATTTGTTTCACACAGCCTGCATACAGGGTATGTAAAATGCAACCCATCACAATCGCAACACTGTTTGATATACACTCTTTTAAGCCAGGTTTTCCTAGGCTCGGAATTGGAGTGTGGAACGCGGAGAGCGGACTCCACTTGTCTTAGGCAATTTAATGTTGCTGTTTTCCTAGAAGCGGCAGGCAGGCAGACAATTCGCTCAATCACAATCTAGCTCCAATTACACCTCTACTCCAACAAACTCTTTTAAAACATACATTTGCTAGATTTTGTATATTTTCTAATGTCATTGTTATTTATGAGAAATAAAGTACCGGTATCCTCTAAGTAGGGTTGTGATACCAACGGATTTCCCCGGAGATCAGATAACCAAATTTTGGCGTTCAAAATTTAGCTCCGGGGGATTTCTGCGAAAAGTAAGAATTAAATAACCTCTTAAACAAATATTTCTACCAATAAACATTATAAAACGGCGCTTTTGGAATAAAAGGAATATTTGCATTCATAAAATATCGTTATGGAATGGCTGGAAAACGTCAACTCTTTCTCTTTTACTCTCTACTAAAGTTTTTTTACTTCTTTGTTTCATTTTGGCTAGCGACCAAAATGAATCGTTTGTTTAGGCCTATAGTTCCCAGTTCCTCAATCCGCGCCAGTCGGACAACCCGTAGATGTCAGACTGGTCATAAATGAAGCCGAACCGAGTCTAGCAGATGAGAATATTTGTTTTTTTTTTTTTGTTTCTAGTGAGATAAAACGTACGCTGTTTGATTATTGGCTGCCTAGGTATCCGATTTTGCTAGCCCGTTATTTTTTATATGCCAGATCCGCTAGCTAAAATCTCCTCTTTATTCCCCGTAGGCCTATCACATGGCAAACGTACTAATATCTTGTTTGCAAATGCAAAACGAACATTAAAATTAATAAATTGAATTAAAATTAAAACATTTTGTGAATTAAAATACTGAGGCTTACATACTCTTATTTTGAAAAATTTTACTCAAAACTACGTAGCTGTTAGCATTCAGAAGGCAAATTAGACATGCAACTAATACACCAAATGTATAAAAATTATCAAAGTTATCTCTGTTCTGTGTTGAATATTTTGCAATGTACAAGCTTATAGCTATGATGAAATCATAAAAATAAGATTCTCCCTGACTGCTTTATAGCATTACAAGCTAATGTTATCCCTTATAATAAAAGGGGGGAAAACAAATATTCACCACATCACCGGTACAAGAATCTCTCGGTGATATAATCATCTTAGTTGGAGCGCAATGAGCAAGCATTTGTCTTGTCCTAATCCGTATTTGTTTTCTAACCAAACAGAATTTTGTAGATATATACCAATTAAGTAGCTGTAAAATTGAGCCACTATAAAATAGTTTTTAGGTGATATTAATTATGCAGTCTTTAGGTGTGGAAAGAAGTAAAATATTCATGTAAAAGTGATCCATTTATCTGTCTGTAACTAAAGTGTAATTTAAGGCTTGAGTTTCTTTTCTCTGTCCACAAACAACAAAAACACCCTAAGTGACGAACTGAATCAACAAAAATAAAAATGCATGTTTAAAAAAAAACACACAATTGAAAGTTCATATAATGTCAAAATAATGTCCCATTATAGGCAGATATTGAGTGGAGTGGTTTACTGATAAGAGTGGTTGTTGTGGTGATAAGAGACAGTCTGCGGGAGACAGCTGACAAATGTGGCGCTCTCCCTTGTCTCTCACTGCTGGTCGTTAACACCACTAAGTGGTAAATAACATTACAATAGAAATAAATGGTATAAGCAATCTGACACAAATACTTTATCCCTTGTCAACAGCCTTTATAATGGGTAACAGGTGGGAGTAACTATAATATTTTATAGGGAAGATCACAAAAGTTGCAATAACTTTTGAACAGTAATTTTTACAGGATTGGTTGGTTGCACTATTTTGTTTATAATTAATTATAAGGATCCTTTAAGCACAATTCTTAAGGAGGATGGCACATATATGGATGACCCAGAAGAAGTGCTGGAGAGCCTTTTGAGCGCTCACTTCCCAGGATCCTTGCAAATGCAGAACACCACAGTCCAAGTGGAGGTGGAGAGAGAGACTATAGTGTGGGGATAAGGGAAGAACAAAATTTAGCAATTTCTTTCCAAACCGTTTTGTATAGGTTAAAAAACTAACAATTTTGTATATTAAAGCATTATTATACGCCTAATGGTTACAAAGAAAATTCCAAAAAATTGTAAATTTAAAATTTGCATCTTATTCTTATGGAGAATAAGTAAACTGTTGTGGGTTGCTTGTTTATGAACATGCTTTAATCAAATTTGGAAAATAACCTATATATAAAAAAAAACAAAAAAAAAAAACAAAAAAAAAACGTTTTCACCCTTCCTGTTGCAGAAAATCTAAGTAGGCCTACTCTTTTAACCAGTTCTATTTAAATAGGGATTAAATGTGATATTTTTAAGGATAAATTTGAGTGTAAATCCAATCAGGCAAATGGAAATTCACTTAGTTTGCTGTGGCAGGGTTATTTATTTATTTTTGACATTTTAAATTTTAATTTTGAAGCTGCAAAACTACCAATTTTTTTGTCAATCTTCTTGAAATTAAATCACAAATCCTCCCCACACAATAAATCATTACTGATACCAACATCAGTGGTATTAATTTTTTAAATATTGTTGTGCCTTATCAATGGTCTTTTGAAGTATTAAAGAAACGATACTTATACTTTAGAAAGTTGCAAGTGATTAATTTAGCATTAAAGACGGCAGACAAAACTAATATGATTATCAAATCATCAATGACTAAAAAAACGTTATATTAAATTTTATTCAGTAGGGCTATATGTTTCATTGCATCTTTGATTCTTCTTTATAAATATAATAACAAACAACATAACATACAAACCAGTTCTTTTAATAGTTCCATAGTCCATTGAATTTACATTTCCACACTTACAATTAAGTAAACAAAGTAACAGATATTTAATTGATTGTATAGGTGTAGCAAAACACAATTACCAAATTTTCCTAAATATAAAAAAAAATCTATGTGAAATGGAAGTTATGTTAAGTTAATCCAACAAATGTTAAGCAGTTCGAATGTATAAAAAATAACTTCAAAATTAATACAAAACATACATGAACACAACACTCATACATTGTAATTTGCATACTGTTTCCATGCAAATATATTGATAACATTATTTTCATAACTTAAGACACTTTAAAAAATCAAAAGCAGAGCCCCAGAGTTTATACAGAAACGCTTATAGAATGTTTTTATTTATTTCTATAATCATTGATATAGTTTTAGATTAAATAAACCAACCACACAGTTGTGCAAAATATTATATTTAATTTCTTTGGATCAGTTGTCTGAAAATACAACTAGACATTCCATTTCCATGTTAAAGTTGTCACCAGGTTTTTGATTAAATTTATCTTAGTTGATGTGAGCCACCTACAGATTGCACTGATATAAGTTACTGATTTCTGCCGACTACACTATGTCTTTTACCAATTCAAACTGATGGAATGACCTATTAAGAGCTATAGCAACTGTTATGACCCAGTAACTATGTCAGTAACAAAAAATAAGGTACAAAATAGAGTTTTAGACACTAGAGCAATCTGTGACTGGCTCACACAACTACATTAGTTTTTAGTAAAAAATTGGCGACAGCTGATCCATATAGATGGGATGTCTTCTTCTGTATCCAATCCAATAGTCAATGGTAATATGCAATTTGGCACATCTTCTTCTAGTTTACATTGAACCGTCAAAGCAAATGTTAATATTGTGAGTATTCTCATTCCAGCCATGGAGACCAATGAATATTTACTTTTAAAATCCTCACCTCAGAACTGTTAAAGCCAAAGGGGCAAAGCCCACGGTCAGTATCGAAGTGTGAATAGTCCTATTACCATTCTTGGTATGGTAGTTATATTTTTGTAAAATTTAAGTCCAGTCGGTAGTTGTTGCGCCTATTAGTAATACATAGATACAGACACCATTACATTTTTTTTTATATAATAGTATGGATATACTGTAGATAATTTGGTTGAACTAACAGCTGGTTTCAAACTGCCAAATGTTTACACGTTGATTTAAAAAAATATTGATGTCGGGATTATAATAAATGTATTTTTCTTAAGAGTACTGTTAATATCGTAAGGTTTTGCGTTTTCAGGAAGTGTAGTTTTGAATTATACACTAAACACTTAAAAATAAAAATGTTATAAATTAAACACTTGTGTACAAGCAAGTGTTTGTTTAATGTTTGCAACTACTAAAATACCTGTATTTTGTCTTTTTTATAAAAATACTAGCTGTAACGCGCGGGCTTTGCCCCGTTTAACTTCTTAATTTTCAAGATGATCTAGTTTGCATGGCTCAGTCACGTCCTGGTTGAAGTTCGTTCGCTACGCTCACTCACCTTTAGGTTGGAGCTCGTTCGCTGCGCTCACTTTCCTTCAGGTTAGCTCGTTCGCTACGCTCACTTGCCTTCAGGTTAGCTCGTTCGCTACGCTCACTCGCCTCCAGGTTGAAGTTCGTTCACTACGCTCACTCACCTTTTGGTTGCAAATTAGCTGTTGTCATAAATGTAAAAGAAATAATAGTGCTGCACCCTGTTGGTAATCCTTGTAACTTTAATGCTATTGAACATCATAGAACAGAACCAACTTGTTTAATTGAAACAGCTGTTAAGATTCATTAATTCCATTTCTCATAAGGTTAACATGGGAAACTCCAGAGCCACTGGG